ACGCTAGGCACATAAGTTTGGGGATCGTCACAAACTATAAATAAATCTATATAACCGTATATATCACTATATAACTGTATATAAACAATAACTCTACATAACAATATATAAATGTATATAACCGTATAAATCACTATATAACTAAATATAATCAATAACTCTACATAACTATATATAAGTCTATATAACCGTATATATCACTATATGAATATATATAATAATTTACAATATATAACTGTAAAAAAATCTATATAACGTTTATTACAGAATATAACTAGATATATTCAATAACTCTACATTACATAATATAAATCTATATAACCGTTTATAATACTATTTAACTATCTATATTCAATTATTCTACATATCTATATATTAATCTATATAACCGTATATATCACTATATAACTATATATAATCAATAACTCAACATAACTATATATAAATCTTTAAAACCGTATATAACACTATATGAATATATATATTCAATAACTCTACATAACTGTATATAAATCTATATAACCGTATAAATCACTATATAACTTTTCATAATAAATAATTCTACATAACTATATATAAGTCTATATAACCGTATATAACACTATATAACTATATATAAACAATAATTCTACTTAACTATATAAAAGTCTATACAACCGTATATAACACTAAATAACTATATAAAATTATTAACTCTACATACCTATATATATATCTTTATAACCTTCTAACTACCACTAAACTAAACTGGTTTATCTAATCGCCTCAGTGGCTCGAAACTATTAAGCGCTAAACGCAAAAGTTTGGGGATTGTCACAAATTATATATAAATCTATATAACAGTATATATCATTATATAACTATATACAATCAATAACTCTTCATAACTATATATAAATCTTTATAACCGTATATATCACTACATAACTATATATAAACAATAACTCTACATATATATATATATATATATATATATATATATATATATAACCGTATAAATCACTATATAACTATATATAATCAATAACTCTTCATAACTATAAATAAGTCTATATAACCGTATTTATCACTATATAAATTTTTATAATAAATTATACTACATAACTATATATAAATCTATATAACCGTATATTACACAATATGACTATATATATTTTCAATAACTCTACATAACATAATATAAATCTATATAACCGTATATAACTCTATTTGACTATCTATATTCAATAATTCTACATATCTCTATATAAATCTATATAACCGTATGTATCACTATATAACTATATATAATCAATAACTCTACATAAATATATAAAAATCTATATAACCGTATTTAACACTATATGAATATATATATTCAATAACTATACATAACTATATATAAATCTATATAACCGTATATATCACTATATAACTTTATATAATCAATAACTCTACATAGCTATATATAAATCTATATAACCGTATATATCACTATATAACTTTTCATAATAAATAACTCTACATAACTATATATAAGTCTATATAACCGTATATAACACTATATAACTATATATAACTATTAACACAACGTAACTAAATATAAATCTATATAACCTTCGATCTACTATTAAACTAAACTGATTTATGTAATCGCCTCAGTGGCTCTTAACTATTAAGCGCTTAGGCCATAAGTTTTAGGATCGTCACAAACTATATATAAATCTATATAACCGTGTATATCACTATATATCAAAATATTATCAATAACTCTACATAACTATATAAAAATTTATATAACCGTATATCCCACTATATAACTATATATAAACCATAACTCTACATAACTATATATAAATTTATCTAACCGTTTATTTCACTATATTATTATATATAATCAATAACACTATATATCTATATCTAAATTTATATAACCGTATAAATCACTATATAACTATATATAATCAATTACTTTTCATAACTATATATAAGTCTATTAACCCTATATAACACCTTATATCTATATATAATTAATAACTCTACATAAATAGATATAAATCTATATTCTTATATATCACTATATAACTTTATATAATCAATAATTCTCCATAACTATATATATGTCTATATAACCGTATATAACACTATGTGACTATATATATTCAATAACTCTACATAACTATATTTAAATCTATATAACCGTATATAATACCATATGACTATCTATATTCAATAACTCTACATAACTATATATAAATCTATATAACCGTATATATCACTATATATCTATATATAATCATTAACTCCACATGACTATATATAAATCTAGATAACGTATATTACTTTATATGACTATATAGAAATGTTTATAACCGTATATATCCCTATATAAATATATATAATCAATAACTCTACATAACTATATATAAATCTATATAACCCTATATAACACTGTATAACTATATATAATTAATAACTCTACATAACTATATATAAATCTATATGTTTCCGGCATCATGGCGTGTAAACAGAATTTAACGATTAACGAAGTTTTGTGCTATTTATCAAATAATTACGAGTTTTTGAACAATGATATATTTATTAACAATGCGTCCGACTTCTATATATAGCGCGGAAGAAATCTCGGCTGCCCTTAAACAGATCAAACACGACGTCAATCTCCTAAAGATTGGTCCTAAAAAGAAAGACAAAAGAGACAAACTACGCGAAACCATTTGCTATTTAGGGCTAGTCCGCGAAAAAAAATGATCAACAGAGCTTCCTACATACGTTAGCTCTAACGTACTGGTACCTAATAACGACTCTATTCTTAAATTTAACTTCAATGAAATCAAAAACGACATATGCAATATGCTGCACAATCAGCAACTTTATGCAGCATGCTGAACGCAGCCCCTCGAGTTCATAAAAGTGAACTTAACAATACCAACAACACCAACATAAACAATGTTAAAAGCTACTCGGTAGCAGCAGGACAAAAACACGCCTTGTACAGCTCGGATGCATCATCTCCCAAGATCGTCCAGCTTCGTCCGTAATCAGCACACCACCATCTGATGAAACCTCGAAGCAGAGAACCCAATCGCTGGTGGATCTCAACGTTGTAGCTGCTCCTGCTCGTTTTTCACTTTCAACTCCTAACAATAACATCAATAAAAATAACTCTAATTCCAGTGGCCACGAAGGCTCTTGGAGCACTGTTACTTCTAAAAAAAAGAGAAAATACACTCCAATTACTGTAGGTTCCAAACAACCTGGGTCCTTCAATTATCTACAGCTCCTTTGCCTCCTAAAAAAATTGTTTTTGGGGTAGGTAAATTGAAAAGCTGCGTCAAAGAAGAGATCCTTGAACATCTGGAAACTATTGGACTGACCGCTGCAGAATGCGTACCAGTCTTAAAATTTTCTCCCACTCGTCCTCAACCTCCAACCAGTGATCCATCAACAAAATTTCGCATAACTATTTTTAAACATCAGGAGATGATTTTTACCAATCCTGAAAATTGGCCTATCGGCGTGGAAATTCACCCTTGGTTGTTTCATGCTCGACCACAGCATTTGATAAAACCCACTACAACTTCACTACCAAATCATCATCCTGTCGACCTACCAAATGTTAATACACCATCGCTGGTCAACTCACATCAGCATGTAGAAAACACAGTTGAGGTGGCTTCCATTTTAACTTCTTCGGAAAAATCCACTCAGCCAGTCGAGTCAGTCACGTTAAGCTCTTCTCAGCTGGTCGAACCACATAAACAACAACAAGCCTCATCGACGATTAGTCCTCCCTCCGATGTCAATTCTGCGACATCAATAAATCACGACAATGGCTGTTAACAATACTTATTCCGCAATCAATTCTATCCAACAACATCCTCAACCATCAAACAACGACGAAGATGATCAACACTTTAACGCATACAACACCCACATCGACCCCACAAAGAACCTCCTAGATTCATTCACCAGACAGTCATCCTACTGCACCACAAGAGATCTACTCAACATTCTAGAAGCCAAGTACATCAACAATCATGATCACCCTCTACCTCTACTTCACATAAACAGCAGAAGTCTTTTAAATAAAATTTCTGACAATTTAATTTTAAATAAATTTTTATCTTTTTTTTCCCATTATTATTATTTCAGAGACATGGCTGAATGACGAAACCGCTAAACTAGTTCGTATGAATGATTACAATTTTGTTTTTAAAAATAGGTCTGACAGAATAGGTGGTGGAGTCGGAATCTTCATCAGATCAGGCATTGAATTTTCTATGATAAACAATTTGCTTCTGAACGACACCATTATTGACCTTCTTGGTGTCAATTTAAAATTAAACAACACACACGTAAATATTTTAGCAGTATATAGACCCCCCAACACTGATCCTAATATCTTAATCCAAAAGCTCGAACTTATTTTACCCACATTCAAGCCACACATAAAGAGCTATTTAATTGGCGACTTAAACCTTGACCTCAATAAACTCAACAGTGACAACGTCGTTGCTGACTTCTCTAACCTACTATCATCATACAACTTCTTACCTCTTATAACCTCCTCTACTCGCATCTCAACTTCTTCTTGCTCACTCATCGACAATATCTTTACTAACATCCTAACTTCTCACTTATCTGGAATAATACTGTCAGACATATCTGACCATTTCCCTATATTCGCCATCGCTTCCAAATCAGAAATCTCAAACCATGCCCCTATTAAGCTCTTCAGAAACCTAACTGAAGAATCTATAAACAACATCAACAATTTCTTATCAAACTACAACTGGAATTCTTTGACTTCTCTAGAAAATGTTAACGACTGCTGCTCTGTTTTGAATACTATCTTAACTCACTCTCTAAACACTTTTGCCCCCCTCCGTCCTGTCAAAAACAAAAAGAAAAAATGCTGGATCAATGACAACATTCTAAGTCTTGCAAAAAAGAAAAACAAACTATACATCATAAGCCTTAAATATCCAACCACCCGCAACATTGCCACCTACAAAAGCTTCAGAAATATGTTCACATCTATTAAACGAAAAACTGAACGAGACTACTTCTCTAACAAACTTGAAGACGCACATAACAATGTTGGGCAAAAATGGAACACTATCAAAGAAATTCTAAGCAAGCAACCTCCTAACTCATCAATCACCAAACTAACTATCAACAACCAAGCAATTGAAAATAAACAAGAAATTTGTGACCTTCTCAACACCCACTTTGCAAACATTGCTAGCCAACTACTCTCAAACCAACCTCCCAGCTATGGTAGTCCTACAGATTTTATGAGCCCATCCACACCCCATTCCATTGGTCTATATCCTGTTACTGAACAAGAAATATTAACTACTGTTAATATCTTGAAAAACAAAAAGAGCTACGCAGACGATGGACTCAACATGTTCCTTATCAAAAGCATAATTTTCTCTATCATATCACCACTTAATCATATCTTCAACTAAGCACTGGAATCTTTCCTGACTCATTTAAAATAGCCAAAATCTTACCAGTATTCAAGAAAGGAAACAAAGATGACATTAACAACTACAGACCCATCTCCATTCTTTCCCCGCTGTCAAAAATTCTTGAAAAACTTTTCTTTAAAAGACTCTCTAATTTCTTCTGCTCCAACAATACTCTCTGCAATAACCAATACGGATTCAGACCCAACCACTCAACTGAGCTTGCTATTATTGACTTCACTCAGCATATACTAAATGAAATGAACAACAAAAATTTTTCTATTGGCATTTTCCTGGGCTTATCCAAAGCCTTCGATGTCATATAAATCTATATATTCGTATATATCACTATATGACTATATATAATCATGAACTCTTCATAACTATATATAAATATATATAAACGTATTTATCACTATATAAACTAAACTGGTTTATCTAATTGCCTCAGTGGCTCTAAACTATTAAGCGCTAAGCGCATAAGTTTTAGGATTGTCACAAACTATATATAAATCTTTATAAGCGTATATATCACTATATAACTAAATATAATCAATAACTCTACATAACTATATATAAATCTATATAACCGTATATATCACTATATAACTTTATATAATAAATAACTCTACATAACTATGAACAGGCCTTGCAATTTTTTTTTATTTATTTTTGTTTTTATTTTTGTTTAATTGGTTCATTCAATTTAGTTGATTGATTGATCGGTTGATTGATCGGTTGGTTGATTGATTGACTGACAGACTGACTGGCTGGCTGGCTGACTGACCGACCGACCGACTGACTGATTGTTTGATTGATTTATCTCATAGTATTGTATACATGAGAAAAAATCCGATTAAGCCAACCTACGGCTTCAGTAAGCCACTGTTTTTCACCTGACAAAAGAAATTTCTATATTTATTCTGACAAAAATAATTGTGATATGAATGAATATATTGATTTATTTAAAGCATTATATGTACAAAAAAGTGCTATCGTAAGAGTTCTATAAAACCCTGTAAGCCACTGCTGTAAGCCAACGTATGATTTCAGCAGCCAGTTTCTTATGAGCACCAGCAGAATGTAAAATATTCATTGAATATAATGAAGATAGTTGTTCAAATAACAATTTTGATTTATTTAGCCGTTTATTTCATAAGCAAACCAATTTTTAACATGATCGAATAGTGTAAAAAAAAGGGTGGCTATAGTTCAATCCTACTAAGCCAACCTTCGACTTCAGTAAGCCACCGGATTTCAACGGACCAAAAGCAATTTTTATATTCAAATTAACAAAAATAATTTAATAATACATAATTCTATTAATCATTATTAAAATTAATTAGAATTACTACAGTGTTTTAAGCATATTAAATCAAGTAAATATTTCATTTAGCTTGCTCGTTAAAATCCATGCAATTTCGTAAGCCAACAATCCAAGCACGACAAATAGCCCGACCGATAGATCGAATTTATCGATTAGTCCTATTATTCTAGTTATGTGGTTTGGAGCAAGGGGAGACATTACTGAAAATAATTAAAAGTTGAAAAAATTGAGGTTCTTTGCATATCCCTGCTTCAACCCATAAGAAGGTGTTGTATGCTGGTAAATAGGCCTCCCCTTGGATAAATTAATAAATGAATTTTTCAAATGAATTACTTTAATTCTATAAATATATGTTATTAACATATATATAAATATAAATAAATAAATAAACATATATATATATATATATATATATATATATATATATATATATATATAACATGATATGTAATATTCTATATATGTGGTAGTAACATTCAAAGGTATCAAACACACACGCAGCACTTGTGAATACCTGAGTCCACTTGCATTCTTAACTTAGCATTTTGGCTGTGCTAGATGAGCTCTCCTTGAGCTTTATCACAGTCATCCTGGCTTCAAATTACCGATTTTATTGGACATAAATTGAGTTTGAAAGCACTTTTATGTAACTTATATGCGCCATACTGCAATCTACTCATCGAAAAGTTGGATTTTTATTTTGTCGTATGTGTTACGATTTCAAATTCACAATTCAAACAATTTATTACTGTTATTATTTTTACAATTATTCAAAAAAGTCTTTAGATCAATTTAAATGTTAATAATCTCTTAAACTGATTAAGTATTTCTGTTCATCCATTTCCAAAACACGGAATTTTTTCTTTTCTTTACCCGCTCTTTTCAGCGCGCCACCTGTTCCAATCGCATCCTGAACTTTTCCAATCTTTGACTGCTGCTTCATATTCTTTCCTCTGCTCATTTGTCAGACTGTTGAAACTGAACGGCGTGTTTCCGTTATTACAATTGCTGCCGTTCTCCACGTAGAACTTCTTCAGTGAGATGACATCTCCCTCAACTGAAGTGTACAAGTTTTGTTCGAACTTCGGCGTGCATCCCCTCTCGATTTCAACAGTTTTACCTGCATATATTTTGAAAATTTGAAATCATAAAACTTTCAAACAGGCGAACATTGAGGACAAGGGATAAGTAACACCAGAGGCAAAAGGGGAACTTATGACTGAAAAACGAATATTGTACTAACTTTTTGTGTTTATTTTCAATTCGGCATAACAGCCATTAATATTTTCATTTTTGCAGTAGGCCAAAGTTATTTTTTTCCCAAAACATCCGTCGACCAGCTTGTTGTAGTCAGCTTTCCCAGTGCAGATGGCGCAATAAAATTCGTCGGAAAACACCTGAGCACCTGAAAATTTTTCAATTTTTCAGAACTTGTTTATAATGAAACGTTAACACTAATATCCTCCAATTATTATAATTTATTAAAAATGTTGTACACGCATACTCAAAATTTCGTTTTTTAATATTGGAATTCAATAATTCAAAATTTAAACTCACATCCGAACGCTACAAGTATTAGAACAGGAATCGACAGGTTCGCCATTCTGAAATCTGTTTGGAAATTTAGGTTAGTTATCTTAAAATTGTTACATCGTCATAGAGACATCTTTAAAGAACGCAATAAAATAAAATTCGCAATCACACACACACACTCACACACATGAGACTAACATAAATCTCACTCGACTGATTACCCACAAAAAATTCTTCTCTGCAACTTCAACATTTCAACAATTTACACATTTATAGCACTTGTCTCCCCGCATAGCATGTAACTAATTATTTACACTAATATTTTTGACCACCCCGTGTATAAAAATGCATTGAAATCTACCGCAGTTTTATTTTTTATTCATTTTTTTTTTGTTCTTCCTACACTCCACGCATTAAGCCACGCAATTTCATACCTACTCACCACACACACACACAAACACACCACACACACACTACACACAAACACACACACAAACACACAAACACACACACACAAAACACAAACATACAGTAGACGTAATGTTTAAACAGGTGTTCAAACACGTTTTTTTTTTGTATCTATTATCTATCTTTTTTTGGGATAGGCTAATGGGTTATGTGAATTACAAATTCTCAATGAAATTTATACAAATATTTGCCATATGTCCATTCTCCTCTTAGTTTCCTGTTTAAAACAGCGCCGTCCATTCCATGGAAACTTCTATTAACCAATGTAAGATGAAATCATTAATATTTCAGGTAAAATAAAAATCGGATCAACGCCTTGAAAGAAGTCTTAAATCAAGATTAAGAATTAAGATCAATTTAAATAGCAATTTATATATGGTGTTATGAATTAAAAACAAATTACAAAAACGTCTTAACATTCCTTTTTGAGAAGGTGTTTATAATAATAATACGGAAGTTTGATCTTTTATTCACCAGTTGTATTTGATTTGTGTAATTATTTTGTTGACAATGTAAAAAAGCAGGTTTTTGAACAAATGTTTTATAAGATTTACTTCTGCGGTTGGAAATTTCATTAAATATTACAAATATGTCAAAAGTTATGAGTGAAATATATCCAAAAGAAATTAAGAAAAAAAATTACATGTAAAAATGAATATTCAAATTTTTGTTTTAAAAATAAAAAGACTCTGGACTTTAGAATTAGTGTTGAGAAATGTTTGAAAACATGTTTTTATTAAATGAGTACGTGAAATCTAAGACATAACTAAGTTTGAACGATTGTGTATGTAAATGGGTTTAAATTTATCTTTAAACAAAATTTCAAAAACTTTGTAATGTGCAAAAAACTTATTTTGTTGGAAATTATGTTATGAACTATTTGAAAAAATGAATATGACAATTTTGGAAACAATTGCAATTTATGTGGGATCTTTCATTGTATCATGGCTGTGTTATCAAATCTTCTGGGGATGCTACAAAACTCGGAAAGATGATTCGAAAATTAAAAGGCCTCCATGTCTTCCTCATATTCCACTGCTCGGATCGCTGCCTTTTATTTCCGACCCCAAAAGATTACACGTCTACTTTTTAAATAAATCCAAAAAGATTGGAAACATTATTGGCTGCTATATGGGACAAGAGTAAATTTTTATTCAAGGTTTTTGATTAGGGCTAATTGGCTAATTTTATCATAATTAATATTGTAATTAAAAGGTACATGGTTATTTTAAATGGTCGGCAGACAATCGAGAAAGCGTTTGTTGGCAGGGCGTTGGCATTCTCTAGTCGCCCTACATTCTATCTCACCTCTCTCTACAATCCCGGCCAAAAAGGTAAGTTTAAAATCGATATTTTTTTTAATTGAAAAAAATACAATTTCTTGTTTGGTCAGGGCTTGGTGAACATCCGTACAACGAAACGTTCAAAAAGTACCACAAAGCTTGCCTAAATGTTCTCAGAAAGTTTGGATTAGGAGAGGAAATGATGGAATCTAGAGTGAAAACAGAGGTGGAGCATCTAATTCAGAGAATAAAAGTCAGAAAAGGTCAACCGTTCTATCCATCTGTAGACGTTACTGCTACTTTCTTCAACGTGATCAGCAGCATTTTGTACGGCAAACGATGGTCCGTTGATGATCCGGAGTTTCATTACATCACTGAATTGTCAGACATAATTGTGAACAAATTCATTCTGAACATTCTTCCAGTTTTGAGATTTGTTCCATATTTTAAAGGTCAATTTACGGAACTTGTTGAAGCCGTGAAAAAATGGGACCAATTTATAGAGAAAAATATTCATTCAATTTTAAACGGCATCAGAGGGGAAACGTTTAGCAAAAAATTTGAAGAAGAGTTGAAACTTCATTCTAATGATTCAAATGTGAAAACATTGGTTGATAAAGAGCAGCACAAAATGATGATAAAAGACTTGATGATAGCGGGAACAGAAACTTCAGCAAACACGGTTCTCTGGTTTCTCTATTTCATGGCCAATCACCAAGACGTGCAACAGCAGATGAGAGATGAGTTGGATAGAGTCGTCGGTCTCAAGAGATACCCATCACTCGAAGATAAGCCAAAGTTACTCATAACAGAAGCTTGTACATTGGAAGTGATGAGAATTAAAACACTTGCACCATTAGCCATTCCTCATATGACTTTGAGTGATGTTGTCGTTGATGGGGTGCTCATTCCCAAAAATGTCACAGTCCTGGCAAACTTGTACAGTGCCCACATGGATCCTGATGTTTGGGATGAACCAGAAAAGTTCAGAATTGAAAGATTCCTGAATGAGGACCAAACCGAAATTGTCAACAAAAGTCATGTGATTCCTTTTTCCATCGGTGAGTTAACTCATTCCTCAATGAATATGCTATTTGATAAAATGGAAAAAGACAAATATTTGATAAAATATTTCAGGCAAACGTTCCTGTATTGGAGAACCACTGGCCCGCCAGGAATTGTTTCTCGTCGTTTCCACACTCATTCAGCAGTTTCAAATCCTACCACCAGAGGGAGAGGACATGGTTGTTGTCAATGAAATGTATGGATTAACCGTATATCCCAGTCCTTTCAACATCAGATTAGTGGAGAGAATTCACTAAGAATAGAAATGTTGTTAATTTTTGAGTTTTTGACAGATGATAATAGACCGACTTAACTATATTGCTTTAAAATCATGTAAGTAAAATAGAAAATTAAGTCTATAGTAATAAATCATATTTTGATTAGCATGTGTTTTACTTAATATATTAGCTGAAAAATTGGTGTACTAGATGCTGAATTTATATAAATACTTGTGATAGAACGTATTTTTTAAAAACTCTGATTTGGATGAACTATATATGTTAAAAACTATAACTTCAATATTTGAAAATTTGACATTTATGAGTTTCAATAAACCTTGATATTAAAAATAATAAATTTAATTATTATATATTTTTCAGCAACTTTTACTCTCTTTCTTTGTAGAAGCTAATAACAGTCAATAATATTCGTTTCAGTTCCATTCAGTTCAAGTTTGCTTAAATGGATATATTTGTTAAGTACATTACCACTGTGGAGATTTTAATTTGAAACGTTTTAATCCAAATTATCTGAACGTTAAAAAATTCATGAATATTTTTACGTTATATTACAAAAGTGAAATTTAATATTTTCGAGTGGGACTTAAGCAGATATTTAAATTAGCATTGACTTAGTGTTCTACTATCCTGACAATAACATCAGTAATAAATTGCAGCATTTGTCAGGTGCGATCATGAACATGGATATATGATATATATATATATATATTATATATATATATATATATGTGTGTGTGCGATATGAAATTTTTAGTGTTCTGACAACTAATGTCTGAATTTAAACCATCCATTTTTGCGTTCACCTCCCAGTCTAAACAAGTTAGATAGTTAGTTTATTTGAAATAGAACATTTGGAATTTATATTTATTTATTTAATATTTATTTGATTTTTGGTGCAAAGATTTTAATGAAATTTTAATTTAACGGTGTAAAATAAATATTTTGTTGAATAGTTCTAAACGAAATTTAAAATTTTGAAAAATTACGGCTTAGCTCGGTAGGATTAGTTGTTTACAATTTGACAGTTCCAATTATAAAATACTAAGCTGTGAAATATGAAGACGGCACGAGGCAAGTTTTGCTGCTCATTTTGGTGCATGTTTAAAATTTTTATTCCAGTGCGAAGGGGATATCGACTTTTGCAAGGTCAGACCTGCAATTTTCAGCCTTCCAAGAATTGACGTCTCTAAATTTAAACAATTGATTTTTGCAACAGTCACCCAACACTAACAAACAAATGATTGATTTATTGCAATTTTCAAAGTTTATATCGTACAAAGAAGTTAATGAAGACCTGACTCGACGGAATAAAATATTAGAATTCCCATGCAATTTAAATAAATAATTTGTACATAGAGCTATGAAAACAGTTATTTATAAAACTGTAAGTCGCACTAGCTGAGTTCCTTCTTTGAAATGAAATGAACAATGGGCAACGATTAACAAACAAAAAGCATTTTAAAATGAATAGCATCAACAGGTCCGTTTCTTCTACTTTGGAGCGCACTCATTGAAACGAGGAACATTCTGAAAATGAGAGAAAACTGTTGACAATAACTTCAAATGTTGTAGAAGCTTTTCATGCGAATTATGAACAAAATTGAATATTTTAAATTCTGCGGAACTCATAAATTTAAATTGATAAATCCTAAGAAAATACGAGTCGAGTTATATATCATAATGTTATCGTTGATTTTCCTACTCTTGCAATTGGGGATAGTTTGTGGTGGTCAAACTAATGGAAGAATTTATAGCAGGGCATTCAGCTACCTGGTTGTCAGAGGTCAGAGGTCATTTGTTTGTTACGATGACCGCATGGACATCATTACTAAGTTGAAGGCTGCCTCAACATTGGAATGCATTTTAAAGTGTTTGGTATGTATACATTTACGCATAATTTTGATTTATACAGAACAATTTTATTAATTTAAACACTTTTGAGTCTGCTCAAGTTTCTAGTTTTCAATTATTCGTTCAACATACAACTTCGTTTTGACATCCGTGAACCTTTCAAACTCAATGGAACCAAAAAATGTCAACCAATGTTTTCAAATTTTGCTATAAACGAAACCTCTAAACAAAGTCTGTGACGCAAACAAACAAATATGTGAACTTAACATGAGCGTGTAAATAATAAAAATTGAACGAATTTGTTTGAAACCAAACCCATCAATGGATGGCAGATAACAACGAAGCAGAACTTGAGAGGCATCAACTACGTGTCGTCAATGAGATCTTGCTCCTGTGTTGCCAAGTTGAACAACTTCTGGTACAATGTGACCTATAATTTGAATGCTTCATGTCTGGCTTTTGTCTCACATGGTTAAATATTTTAATGAATTTGCTTACTGACTTTTATTAAACTTTGTATCTGTCAAATGAATTTATTGTTATTTCAAATTTTACACATATCTTTAAAATTGTTATATTTTTAGAAATTTCTTTCTACAGATTGTCCAAATTCTTTTGACTACATAATCGAAGTGCACAAATGCTTAATGTTCGTCAATAACTCAATGAATTGGTACACTGCTAGGGAGGTTTGCAACAAGGCATCTGCCCATCTGTTGGATGTCGAAAACCAATATGAAAATTCTGCCGCACTGAAGTATCTTCTATCAGTTGTCCAAAGTACGGCCATTCTTTAGACATTTGTCATATTTTTAAAAAATAAACCTTTATTGAAACATTTTCATTATGTTTTTGCTTAGACCATTCGTTATACGCAAATAATGGTTTTGCCGTGTGGACGTCTGGCATTCAACTGAACAAAACTTCTTCAAGCACCCCTTTTCGTTGGAACAACTATCCTGGTGCATTTTTTCTAAATTAAAATCATTTATTGTAATTTTTTATATTATATTATATATGTATATATATATATATATATATATATATATATATATATATATATGTAGCAAAAATTAGATAAAATTTTAAGATATTTTAGACAGACGAGGTCAATTTAAACTATGTCTATTGTAGACGCTCCGATGAAAATTTGTTTAAGGCAGTGGCGATGCGTTGCCAAACATTTCTTGCGACTCAACTTGGTTTTTTAATTGGTTGAGAACTTTCTTTTGGCGATTTTGAAGAAGCTGCAACAGTTTAAAATAGAAATGTTATATAGAAACTCTGTGAAAGTTAACTTTTTTCCGATTTAGATTATTGACGTTAAAAAAATTTTGATGAACACATGAAAGTGGCGGATCTAAGGATGAACCGGGGGCAGTTGTAAAGTTATTTCTGTTAAAAGTCGTTGTTTTCAACAAAAGTTTAGTATTCATGAAGTGGAAATTGACTTTAAAAGACCAAAAATTATGGTAAGTAAAATTTTGAACACATCAGCATAAAAGTTGGCCCCATGGAGAAAGTTTAAAGTTTTAAAACAATTTGTGAAAATCTCCACCACCCCGATCAACAACTTTTGTAGAAATTACCTTCTCCCGATCGTCAAATATTTAAATTTCTTTAAATATCTTTATTATTTAAAGAAAATCTTAAAATATCTTTATTATTTGTTGTCGCGACTATTTGTTTGTTATTTATAATAAAAATTAATTTCAAATTAATAGATAATAACTTAAATAAATTGAAAAATGTAAATGTTGAGTAAAAAATAAGGTCACAAAATTGATGAAAAAAACCTATATATATATATTAAATAAAATTAGTTAAAATGTTTCTCAACAGGTGTCTTTCAATCATTACGTTTCTTTGGATGGGGTGCTGGAGAGCCAAATGGATTCGTCGGCAAAACGTACTGCATACAATACATAATTATACCAGCAAGAACCTGGGACGATGATTTATGTAGTAAATTGAAATACAGTCTCTGTGAGAGTAATGTCACGCCGTAATGTCCGTGCGTTTCTTCGTGGGATTTTGAAAGAAACGAAATGAAAATAGTAATTTTGAAGTGAGTTTGAATAGAGAAAATCAAAACAAGTCAAACGTTTTAGTCTAACATTTACTCTACTTTTAAAATAAATTTTATGTGGTTTAGATAAAATGTATAAGCTGGGAGGTTTCTATTGGACAAACAAAATATTTCAAAACTTCTACAAATTTTACTAAAGAGTGTGTTGACGATCCAACAAATCTGTCAATTAAATACTTGTAGTAAAACGCTTTCAATTACATATTTGTAGTAAAACACTTTCATGCTTTTAATATTTCTGTCTTAAATGATTGATTAATCTTCAAAACAATATTTGTTATTTGGTGAACGTTAACGATAAATTAATTTTCTTTTTTGATGAATATTCTATTCCAAACATGAAAAAAAATGAGGAAAATTGAGTTTGAGGTTTTGATGAAAATTATTGAAACGGTGCAAAATATGAAATAACTTTCTTAGATGTTCAACTGCTATAGTTGATGATTGGAAAATTTCAGGGTGTCTTGAAATTTTCTATCAAAATAAACTGGATGGAACGATCAGTGAACAAAGATTTTGCTTAGAATTTTACACAACATCCGTGGTCCCTCACTATTTTTGAAATTTTAATGCATTTATTTTTGCTCCCAGAAAAAAAACTTTTCAGAATAATGGTTGACAAATTCATAAAAGAAAAACAGAAAGAATTTTTTTTTACTTCCAATCAAATAGTCCATCAGCGAACAAAACATGTCGTGCCAACAGCGATCATCTATTCTAGTAACTATCCAATTGTTTCAGAAATTTGCAACATAACGGCCTCCTTCATTCAGAGAATCTATAAAATCTTGCTCAGGACGATTAAATGAATGTATAAAATGAAAAACTGCTCAGAATTATTTTGTGATTGTATGGAATAATGATGACGATTTGAGCCAACAATGGAATCACGATACGAACGATTGACGTTTTTCATTCTTCTAAGAATATAATTACTTTTCTTTGTTATATTTTATATTTCTATTTTGTTGTTAGGCTGTTGCATTTTGTGTACAATATAGAACGTTTATATGGGAAAATTATTATTTACTTAAGTAGGCTTGTTCACACTTTCAAATTTTCAAGTTTAAAAAGTTTAAACTTTCAAGTTTAAAAAAGTTAGATGTGAAACGTAAGATGTGGTTTCCATTAATGATGTCATTGTTTGGAGAAATTTGCTGCCAAGCGAAGGAAGGATTGTACAGCAGGGCCCACAGTTATCTTATTGTATCCGGACAGAAAACGCCTGTTTGTTACGACGCGCAGATGATAATGTCAACAAACATTGTCGCGAGATCTTCATCGGAGTGCTTGATCAAATGTTTGGTTCGTAGTTGAGATAATTTTGTTCTACAATTATAAGGCAAAATTTTCCGACAAGTTTGTAACTAGCAATTTGTTAATGGCTTCAAAACTTGATGATTTAATATTTTGAATTTGATTTGGTCAACAATATTTTGTTCTTATTTAGCAACAAATTTTTTCATCATAATGAAGTCGGTTTAAGAGGAATTGAACTAAAAAATGTACAAACTTAAACCTATCAATGCATGGCAGATAACGACGAAGCAGAACTTGAGAGGCATTAACTACATGTCTCCAGTGAGATCTTGCTCCTGTGTTCATAAGTTGAACAACATCTGGTACAATGTGACCGCTGATTTGAATGCTTCATGTCTGGCTTTTGTCTCACATGGTTATGTTATTTGAAAAAACCAACTTTTCAAATTGATCATTTTTTTAGATTGTTAAAATTCTAATTTCATTTTGTTTATTCAAACTTTTATTTGTTCTTCAATAAATTTTATAACTTAGATTGTCCAAAACCGTTTGATTACATAATCGAAGTGCACAAATGTTATTCATTGGTCAACAACTTAATGAATTGGAGCACTGCTGGTAAGGCTTGTAACAACGCGTCTGGGCATCTGTTGGCTGTCGAAGACGAATATGAAAATTTGGCTGCATCGAAGTACCCGCAATCTGTTTCTAAGGGTACGATCTTCTTTTGAAGACTAAGTTTTTTTTTTAAATGTTAACAATGCCTGTTTTTCACTTTCCTACTAAGATCTGTCGTCGTGTCCCAATTTTAAAGGTTCCGCTGTTTGGACGTCTGGCATCCAACTCAACAAACTTTCTTCAAGTACTCCGTTTTTTTGGAACACATTCCCTGGCTAGTGATTGCTTATTTTCAGTGTAGATATTTTTTCAGTTTTTTGTTATTAAATCATCTCGATTGTTATCAAAGTGTGTTGTCACAACTTTTAAATGACTCAAACAGAAACGGTCAATTTAATTAGTATCTGTTTAACTATAATTGATTTGTAATTGATTTGTTACAATCTCTTCTATTCTGTTTATTAGAAAAATCGATACGATGGTTGAAATAGAAACGCAAATACGTATAAATTTGAAAAAAAAACATTTCTCGACAGGCGTCAATATACCCTTAAGTTTTTTTGGGTGGTGTTCGGGGGAACCAAATGGAGTCGCCAATGGCAACAATTACTGCCTGCAATACATAATTTTACCAGAATGTGCCTGGGATGATTACACTTGCACTATGTTGAGATGCAGCCTCTGTGAGATCGATATCACTCTGTAATATTTTCTTGGCTGTAACTTCAACCCCCAAATAATTTTGACAAAACTCATAAAACTTTTTTATTAATTTTGTCTTTATATTACCGTAACTTTTATATTATATCAATTCTGATTGACAGTTTAAGTCAATAAACTTTTTGTTATAGTTTTAAAACTTCTGTCTAAGTTGAGTAACTGTCATTAACAATCTTTGCCAAATGGTGGCCAATTAATTTTAAAATTCTTTTATTAAAATTATTTTAATAATGAAATTAATTTTTTAAGCATTTATCTTTTCGTTCTTCATGTGTCTTTTCTTTAGTCTCTTATATGCGTCTGATTTCTGTCAACCTCTGTCAATCATAATTTAAGTTTTATATTAAAGTATTGTTGTAGCCCGTATTTGTGGTTTATTTCACAAAAATTATTTCAATATCTTCATTAGTCTTATTAATATTTTATAAAAAATAATAAATACATCACCAGATAACTGAAAAAACTTTGTTAAACATCCAAATGTGATATATAATTTATTTTAAATTTATTTTTTCCTATTAACGCTTATGTTGGGCCGGATTTGCAGACATGGAGGTTCCGTGGCATGAAAAAAGTGGAGGCCTATAATTATCCAGTAAAAGCCCTTAACACTCAAAAGCTTTTTAGTTGTTGGAAGCAATATTTTGGAACGTGTTATATAATATACGACGCATGGATCTGGGTATACACTGGGTAGTTGGATATATCGAACAAAGCAGAAAAACGGAAATGGATAGTTGGATATATCGAAGAAAACAAAGAAACGTAAATGAATAGTTGGCTATTACAAAACAAACAGAAAGTTGGATATATCGAACAAAACAGAAAGAAACGGAAACGGATAGTTGGATATATCGAACAATCTAATTGTATCCACTGACAAGAATATTAGGAAACAAATTTAAAAATTTTCCACACAACCAAATGCATTTGATGTAGTCCTGAACAAAGCTCCCGCTAAATAAATCATCACATTGTCCATTAATTTAATCTCCTAAACAAAATTTTGTTCCATTAGCAGAGTATAATTACTGTACGACAAAGTTTATCATGATTTATGAATTCAAAATGCACAGGTAAATAATGTAACAAAAGCGAGATGAACGTTTGCTAAATTTGAGAGCATTCATAATGCTTAATGAAATGTACGTTGTATTCTAGGGGTACATTTCAGCGCAATGGGTAAAACGTACATTTTATTGTAGTAAAATCGCGAAGGCAGAAGCAGAAGCATTTTTAAAATGCTTCGTAGATCCGCTTTTCTATATCTGTTCAATTTGTTTCAAATGATTTATTTGTATCTTAGGCTTGTCATAAACTGTAAATATCATTTCCAACTCTAAATTTGTAATTTGTGGAACAATCTTTCAGAGAGGATTGTTTGAAGAATAAATAAGTAGCACTACCTATGGCGTAGTATATAAGTAATATCCAATCAAATTAATAGCAATTTGACATGCTGTTGAAACGTTTCGCATATATAAATCGATGCGTAGCTATAACGACGAGAAACAACCCTGAAATTTGTTCACTCAGAGTTTCTATAATCATAGACACAGAACTTCATAATTTAAGAAAAATAGTTTAGATTTGAATTTCAAAGTAATGACTAAAGTAATTTGGACGCTTTTTATTCTCGCACTCGCTGAGATAGTGCGGAGTGAAGTGAACAAGAAAGTGTACAGTAGGGCCTTCAGTTACCTGGCTGTTAATGGAAAGAAAAGAGAGGTTTGTTTTGATGAAAAAATAGGAATAGTAGGAAGATTGAAAGCGAGATCAGCGTCCGAATGCATTAACAAATGTTTGGTCAGTTATTTAATTATTTTTAAAACGTTTTACAATTTCATTTTTTTTTGTCAACTTTACATTTTAAATTTTAAAAATAAATTCATTCATGAAAACAAAATTTTAACAAATAAACAAAAATTAACTAAATTTCATTGGAGAGACGTATTAATAGCGATTGTCATCGTCATAAACGGATCGAATAAAATAAAACCAATTATGTCAAACCGCAGCTAGAGAAAAAAATTTATTTATTAAAAATTAGTTCTAAAGATTACAAACGTCTTGAAAAAATTCTTGCATTTAATGGTTATTCTCTATTTGTCACTGTACTCATTTAACAGTAATTTCATCCCACAATACAGTCGATCACAAACGACAACTTGAGAGGTATTAATTACAGACCGCTCTCCAAAAATTGTTCATGTGTTCTCAAGTTAGCTGATTTCTGGTACAGCGTAGCGACAGATTTGTTTGGCGGTTGTATGGCTTTTGTTAACCATGGTGATTTATTTCTACTTGTTTTGGTATTTTAAAATACTTTTGCATAACTTCTTCAAGTGTTTTGTCCAAGTGTTTGCTTGTATTGAATCAGCCAACAGACGCTGACTAACTTGTGCATATTCTATGCGCATAATTTTGAATATATTGTTAATAACAAATAATATTGTAATGATTGATGTTGGATAAATTAATTAATAACACCTCTTTCTTGAAAAAAATTTAAAATTTCATCAAATAATTACTATTTTATTTTTATTCCAATGAAAATTTTTTCTCTAATGAAAATTAACGTCAGGTTGCCCTGAAAAGTTTGACTACATAATAGAGAATCACAAATGTTTCAGCATGCAAGCAGCTGCGAGAACATGGCAGGCCTCAAGAAGTCTATGCAACAACTTTCTCTCATCTCATCCCGTGGTTATTGAGAGCTCCAATGAAAATCTGGCTGTCAGATTCTATTCAATTTCTGTTGTCAAAGGTTTAAATCAGTGATTATTTTAATTATATTTTGTTTGCTGAAACTCATACTCAAATTAAAGTTTAATTTTTGTTAGAGTGGCTAAATTTTTATAAATGTTTCCTTGTTGTTTCGCAAAATTATTAAAAATACAAAAAAAGTTGAATGCATGTATATGAAGTGATACGATGTAATTTTTATAGTTCTACTGTACTATTGGCCCACCCACACACACATAAATACACACACACAAACAGACACACACACACACATTTTTGTAGAATTCACTCAGTGCTCATTAACTGGTTTTCCCAACACGTTTGTCATATGGACTGGTTCTTACATCACGTACGTCAACAACAAGCGAACTTCATTCCTCTGGGCTCCTTACCCAAGTAAAAATTTCAATGTTTTAGATTTTTTAAAATTTTCAAATCAAAATTTCTACAAATTGACATAAAATTTAAAAAAACATATTCAAAAATATAACACAGCCCAATCGAAGCCAGTGACGTTTACCAATTGGATCCCAGGAGAGCCAAATTCCCCAACGGATTACACGGACTATTGTGTATGTTACGGGTTGACTGCTGACTATTTCGGCTGGAATGACAATTATTGCAAACTTAATTTTTGTACTGTCTGTGAGATTGACCTGGATTTGTAGTTAGCTTCTTACAAGAATGTTTCAAAAAGTTGAAGTGTCATTAATTCTGTTATTGAGATTCGTGTTATGTTAGTGCAAACAAGTATTTAATTGCCGTAAAATTTTTAGAATCTTTCTTCAAAAAAAAAACTCAAACGTCACTTTTCAATTGTAAAGTTTTATCATTAGTTCAATGATTACGTAAAATTAATTCCATTCCGCATTTATAAAACGTAAACGAATTTCCATACACATGAAACTTTTTAAGGTAATATTGAAATATTTGACGAGCGGCTGAAGAAATATTTGTACACAAATAACTAGGGAATATCTCAAGAGTATAGAGAAAATCAACTTTTTAACATTTTTTATGAACAAAACATATATATATTCAAATAGAACAGAATAATTTAGTACTTGAAGATTACTGAATGCATCTCAAAAGTTGAAATTAAAGTTGTCCTGCGTGTTTAAAATTTATTTTGTGTTGTAAATGAGGAACTACCAGAAGCTACGTGTCACTATTCAGAATGGGGTAATGTAGTCGCAAGCAAAAGTTATTTCAACGATAAAATTGCTATACAGGCAAGTTTCAACGCGTTTGTGATAGACAGCAACGCAAAATAATCACAAAACCTCAGCTGATTGGGTGCAGTTGCTTGGAAAAAAATGTCTTGACGAACGTTAAACAATGTTTTAAATGATTAATGAACATAAAAAACCATGAATAAAAAAATTTATAATTTGTTTGACTTGTGCTAGAAGCAATTAGTAAATGAAAAACATTGCAAGCTGAAATTGGAAACAATGGAATCAGGATTTATGGAAGCGGAATAAATGGATAAAGGGAAGCGGCAATAACATAATAGCGATTTCGTCGAGTAAAAATTTGTGACAACGGTTTCCTAAAAAGTTTTACATGCTTTTTTCTACCTTTACAAAAAAAACAGTTAATACATGAACGAATGAATATAACAAAATCTTAACGTATAAATCTTGCAGAAGCAATAAATTTCTTGCTTTTCTCTAGAAACTTTGTTTGTTTGTGATTATAAGCACAGTAGCTTAGGGACATGAATGTAATAATGGCCATTCTAGTCTTTTTCCTCCTGTATTTGGAAATAGTTAGTGGTGGTCAAATGAATGAAAGAATCTACAGCAGGGCATATAGCTACCTGGCTGTCAAAGGTCAGAGGTCGTCTGTTTGTTACGATGACCGCATGGACATCATTACTAAGTTGAAGGCCGCTTCTTCATTTGAATGCATTCTGAAGTGTTTGGTATGTCAAGTTAATATTATAATTTCAAATGAAATACAACTTGTCCAAATTGAAATGGACTAATCAATGGAAAACCATATTCAAACAAAAAGGAGAATACTTTATTATGTTTTAATAACGCGTTATATATGCATCACTTTTACGTCGCAAGTAGCGTTAACCATTTTTTCACATCCCATCCATCCTACTCAGATAGCAACGGCCAACAACTTGAGAGGAATAAACTTCGTGAAACCCTATGAACTTTGCTCTTGCATTCCAAAAGTGGCCGACATTTTGTACAACGTTACCGGTTGTCTGACTGGCTGCGAAGCCTTTGTGGAGCATGGTTTCAACATGATTCAAATAATTTTTTTGAAGAATTTGAAACTTTTTATTTAAATATAATTTATAAAAATCTTTAAAACAATCAATTCCAAGTCCCAGGTTGTCCTGGAAGTTTCAACTACGTCATGGAACAGCACAAATGCTTCAGCATTCAAATTACTACAAACCAATGGCTCAGTCAGAGAAGCACGTGCAACAACATGCTGAATTCACACCCAGTCGTCATAGAAAGCTACAACGAGAATTTGGTGGTCCGTCTGTACACTCTGGCAGTTTTGAAAAGTTGGTTTCTTCGAAAATTTAATCTTTTGTTTGCATGATGCGTTTGTTTGCATTATGCGTAGAATAAAAAAACTTCTACCTTTTTTAAACGATCCTACTCTTCTCCTTCTTGTAACTTCGTTAGTCTTATCTAGGATTGATTATTGTAACTCGCTTTACTATGGTCTTCCTGATTCTACACTCTATCCTTTAAGTAAAGCTTTTAACTTAGCTGCTCGTCTGGTTGCTCGTGCCCTTTTCTTTTCTCATATATCTCCTTATCTTGTTCTCTTGCACTGGCTACCTTATCAGATTTGAACCTAAACGCGCCGGTTTACAATCGTCTTTTTGTTTTCATTTTTTCTTAACTCGTGTTAAACACTCTTTTGCTAAATCTGCATTTGCTTTTTCTGGCTTTTTTTGGAACTCTCTACCTCCTTCTCTGACTATTTCTTCATCACTTACGAAGTTCAGAGCGGATCTTAAGACCCATCTGTTTGCAAAATTCATTGAGGAGCGCTGTTAAACATCGCAAAAATAGCGCTTTATAAACTAATTGATTAATTGATTGATAATTAAAAAATCTTATGTAGTTATGAGATGAGATAATTTTTTGATTGAGGAAATTAATCGATCATTAATTTTAAATCTCATAACATTTATCTACCCAGCAAGTAATATGTGAACAGCTTTTAAAAAACCGCTCACAAATCAAAAATGACTAAATTACATCACACAGAAGGAACCAGATTAGTTTTACAATCGCTTGAAACTTTTAAAATATTACAATAAAAAAACTCTATTAAATTTTTTAAATTTTTAATCATTTAAATATTGACACAAATAATTTGAAAAAAAATTTGTAATCGAATCAGGCACAGCACTGTGTCCTCTTCCCGGTAACAGCGGTAAATTGGCACTTTGGATCGGATTGTACAGTACATTCAACAATTCGAAACGTCTACCGTACATGTGGGCTCCTTACCCAAGTTAGATAGTTATTTTCATCTAAGAATTTTATAATTTTTTCAATAAAAAGTTCAGTTAAACTAAAACCAGCTACACTACAATTATTTTCAAGTTGGGTTAAAGTTACCTGTCTATTCTAATTGGCAACCTGGAGAACCCAAGCCGACTACCGACAATCTGGATAATTGCGTTTGTTATGGAATGATCGGTACCTACTTTGGTTGGGATGATATTCACTGTTACTTTAACTTATGCACTATCTGCGAAATAGATCTCAATTTGTAAAACTCCGTGGCGACAAGGAAAGATGTAACCAAAACGTTGAAAAAACGATGTGTTGAAAAGTTGAAGATTTTAAGTAGCATAGATGATGGGATTAATAAACATTTGAGGATAGAAATTGATCGAACATTTGAAAAGATTGTGAATTTGCACTTGAAATTTTGAGAACTTTGGATGTAATCAAATATTTTTAACTTGTGAGGGGCTACCATTTCATATCTTGAAACAGTTAACTTGAGTAAGTTTTTATAGAGTGTTGTCTTTTTATCGTTATAATATTGAAATACCCCGTTGAAAGACATTGATAAAATTGTAGAAACGTGAAGCTCTTTTCAAACAAGTTTAAATCAAAAGTCAATCAACATTTTCAGACACTTGACGGCAATTTCATACAATATATATCAAATCAAATTAATTTTATTCAATCAAACAAAACAAAAATTATGAATAATTCGGAGACCAAAAAAGGAAAATTAATTCTTGCGGACTCGACCACCATTTAGCAATTCTCATATACAGTTGGACCTCCATATAACGAATTTGATGGTTCAAGAGAAAAACTCGTTATATAGAAGTTTCGCTATATAGAATATGTTTTGGAAAAAATTCTATCTTGCCTAAATGGCGTTTATATGCTATATATTTATAAAAAATCAACCTTCTAATCATTTATTTTTTATAACAGAAAGTAATAATAGAACCAGATATGACTCAGTGAAGTTGCCACAAAATGATGTCAAGATATCCAACTGCATGGTTCAGATAACCATAGAATATAGCTAACAAAGAAATTTTTCAATATTACTACTAATTTTAAATGAATTTTGTGACCCGTAAGATAAATTTTGATTTACAAAATTTACAAAGTTCCAGTTTGAAGCTTTAAAGAGCAATGATTTATACTTTCATAGTGCAACCTTACTTCAGAGTCAAATCACAAAGTAAGTGATCAGACGCTGAGACAACACACACACACAGTGCATGCATACATTTCATTACCGAAATCTGTAACTCAATCACACGCCAGACACGAATACACACACACACACATATATATATATATATACACTCCCATGAACAACAGTAAAAATAATTAACAGAAATAAAAATAATAATATAAATAACGTAAAAAATATAGATTATATATATAAATCATTTCTTGTAAAAAGTTGAAATGAGTTATACATTCAGTAATATCTTATTTCGAATTAGTTGCCATAAGTTATATAGAATACTATAAACAAGTAACAAGATAATTACTTATTTTGCCATATTGTAAGGTACAGCGTTATGAAATCTAAATATGTTTAGGAGAATATTTCACGTTTCATTTCAGTTCTACTCTCTTGAATGCGTTATAACTTCTAAGAGTCATGAGCTAGCTTAATGAAATATAAGTAAATTCACTAGCCTCTGAAATTAATCAAACCTTAAAAAATGCGAATTAGTTCGAAATGTCGAATTCAAAATGTAACCAACTAGAGATCTCCACTGAATTTATACTTAGCTCAAGCTCAGATGAGTCACAGTATCTTACTACTATAATACAATTTGTTATATGACAACATTTTTTCATAATAATAATAATAATAACAATTAATAATTTCAAATAATTTGTTTCTGTCATTGTTTTTAGAGAAGTTATAATGAAGAAAATAAATGTACGAAAATATTTGTTTTCAAGTTATTTGACATTGAAACATTTGTCACATTTGACAAAATTCTTAATAGCAAAATCCATTGTTACTGCATTGTACTGCATACTGCACATAGTGCATGACAAATTGTTCGCGTAACGCATTCGTTTCTAAAGACTTGTGCATTAGCGTACGCAAGTACTTCTCACGTATTTGGACCCGGACACCTCAAAACAGAATCTGAACTAGAAAATGATTTCAAATGAATTTTCAAGTTTTTTCAATTTCATTATTTCGAATATTTCATCAAAATCATGAAAACTAATAAACAACAACGTGAACATACAACTTTTGAGCAAACAACTGTGCACCTAAAGAACTTGGACAATTTTCACGAGGTGCAATTGTCAAGTTCAACGTTGTAAGATAGGCGTGACAAGTATAATTCGAATAACATTTAAATAAAAATAGAACGGTTTAAAAAATTTTTTGTTGTGTGTTTCACTTGCCACTATACCATTCAGTAGACTTTCATTTAGATCGCTTAAAATTCATCTAGATAACGTTCGAGAATTGTTGCTGAAAATGATATTCTAACGAATGAAATAAAAATAATCTAGGCGTTTGAATATGTAGACCGGCATTGGTCTTGGTGCTTTTTTCTGGAAAACTTTGTGATTTCAATCATTTTGTTAAACAACCCACCACAAACATAACCATATAATTGGTTGGACGTCTTTTTAGTTGAACCGGGTAACTTATCCAAACATCTAATAACCTAGCTGATCATTTATTTACTTCTCGAAGGAAAGACTTTATGAATAAATTGAACTATTTTTGAGTCATGCTATGAATTAAAGTGAGAATTTGTCTTAAAAATGATTTTTGCAATTTCAAATTTAATTTCGTTCGAGACACATTGCTTTGCAATAAAATCAAAAGATATTCTTGGTTACGAAGTCAGAAACAGAAACACACACACACACTCACACAACACACACTCACACACAACACAAGCAAAATAACTTTCGCCAGGGTATTCCACAAGCACACACTTTACCACTATCTACTCCTAATTAAATTTAAATCTAATTAATTAACAATCCACCAACGATAAATAGATTCCTTTGTAGACTGACAGGGAAAAAATCTTTCAGTTTTTTTTGCGTTGGGAAACAATTTACTTTCATTCAAGTAAAATTGAATGACTATTTGCACTAGCATCAAATTGAAACTTGAAAAATGTTATATTCTGCAAGCCCACAAAATTTTTTTTTTATTAAAAAATGTTCAGTTGATGTTCACTCTATAGAAACATTGGTGAAACTGAAACTATAATGAATCATTGATGGATGGAAAAGAAAGAAAGCCCAGCAGATTTCAGGTAAAATGAAATTAAATTAAAAAAAACTACTAGAAAGAAAACTTAGAAAAACGATAAAAAATTGAAACATCAGTTGTGGTTGTGGCAGCTGTAGAAGTAACAAGTATAACGATCATACAAATTATAAACATCACAATTATTATTATTATTAATTATTATTACTAGTTATATTAGTATTATCATTATCCATGTAGAATTTGTAGAAATGGTAGTATAACTTTTAATCTAAGCAATAAACAATTTTATTAATAGTAAAGTCGTAGTAGTCGGTATAATTAGTAATATCTGGCAAATTAGTAGTTGAAGTAATGGTAGTAGCAGCAACAGCTGTCGTGGCAGTAGTAGTAGTATTAGTAGTAATAGTAGTAACCACAGTAGCAGGAGTAAGAAAAGTAACAACCACAGTGGCCGAAGTAGTAGTAGTAACCACGCTAGCTGCAGTTTCATTAACATTTAATGTCTCTTCTTAATCATCATTGCCTTCTTCAATGAAATCAGGCTTTGTCGTTAAATTCATTGACATTGGCGGCTATGTTCTAGCCATATAACTAGAATTAACATGCATCTCGTCACATCACTGCTACCAAACTATACAAAAATATATGTAAATGTGTACAAATCATACATAAATGAATAGTAGTATTAGTAATAATTTTAGTATGTGTGGTAGTAAGAGAATTAAGAAGGTGGATGTTCTAGTAGCTAGAGATTTAAATTTTAAATTAACATTTAATGTTTGTTTGTGTGTATTGTGTGTGAGTGAGTTGTGTGTGTTTGTGTGTGTTGTGTGTGTGTGTGTGTGTGTCTGTCCTCAGTCGATATTAATCTATAAAACACATACTAAACCTATTATACGTTATTAAATATTTGTTTTATAGTTAAAAATTTCATTGTTGAACTACCGTGTGTGTATTTGTTTATTTGTGTGTGTGTGTGTTATAGACAAAATAATTTCATTAATAAATCATACCAAAAAAAATCAATAAGTTTTATAACAAACCCAATAAAGATCTTTAGTAAGCGCTGTATGCATAAGACTTTCTGAGGAGCGGCTAATAAATACGAAAGAAAAAAGCATTCGAATATGGTGTAGGCATGTTTATTGCTTAATAAATTGGTCTTTCGCAGAAAGAGAATAAGGTATATAAGCAAACACCTCATACATAAACACAATAAAATAGGAAGACAATGATTGTGTATATGCTTATTTACCAGCAGTCTACAAGCTATCCATAAGTTATACATTCAAATTTGCATACGTGTTGTTGGGCGAAAGATATTCAGACAAAATGAGTTTAGACAAAACGATACTATACTGATTATGAAGAAGAATCAAAATTACATACTTATGCACGTCTGTATGGAGTTTTAATATAACTTCTTGATTGTTACAAGACGATATATATTTAACATTTACACATTTGGAATATTTTCCAACATCACACACGACACATCTTTTCTGATGAATGTGAAACTTGTGAATCCGTGTCATTTGTACTCAACGTTTGTTTGAAATTGTTTCAAGTAGCATCTAGAAATGTTAAATCTTAAAATTCTCTCTGCAGTAAATTCCATTTAACAATGACAAGAACTATGGAAATAAAAAAGAGCCCACAACCTCTAATGGTTATTGACTTCACCATTATACCAGAAAAGAAATTAATGAGAAAATTTTTGTAAGAAGTAAGCATAAAGACAAACAAGAAGACACATATGGATGCTATAAATCAATGAAAATTACTAAGCAAACGGCAGGTAACCTGTCAGCCCTTGTTTCCATGTATAAAGGATGTCATCTCTTGGAAAATTACGAAGTTGATTAATACCATGGGCTCAGAAGTTGCGCCTGATATGTCTGGCTGATAGTGCTTGCTGTTATTATTAATGTTGTAATTAAGATTGATGTTGTTGATGCTGGTGGCGTTGGTGTTTGTTGTTGACGTCGTTAGTGGTTAGTGTTGTTAGTGTTAATGGGAAATCATCAAAAATTCGATCTCAAATCGCGAAATTGTCGGTTTTAACAACATAAGAAAAAGAGTAATAAAAACTTAGAAAAGATTTTTATGTGTATGATTTAAAATTACAATAAACTATCAGAAAAACGAAACAAAATTGAGAAAATATACTATGGCTATAATAAAAACAATTGGAGAACGAGGTTAAAGACGGCCATGTTGATGGTACGATGATAGGGCTAGATTTCAAGGTTTTAAAGTAATGAAGGCAGCAAACAATTTCGAAGAAAAAAAAACATTTCTTTCTTCCACGACTCTCAAAAAATGTCGTTGCGAACGAAAAAATTATTTCAACAAAAAAAAAATGATATTGCTTTTTGTTGGTGTGGAATAAAAATTATTAAAACATTATTACCGAATTATAAAAATTAAACAAGTATTGTTGGGTAAGAGTGTGAAAAAAATATTTGATAGGAAGTAAGGCGGAAAATGCTGACTCGTCATTCGTCGTAATTTGAATACATCTTCATTTCGCGGAGGTCACTACGTTGTGATTGTTCTGGATTTGCCCATTAATAATAATTGCCCATTATTATTATTTGCCCGAGTAAAGTTGATAACGATGAATAGAATGAAGATAAAAACAAGAAAGAAATTTGAAATACGATGAAGACGACGATGGTTTCCTGACGGTTGATAACGATAACGCTGGCACGGTTCATAATTCATTAGAAGCATTGAATTTTTTAGGCATAATTATTTATGTAATGTGGCATGCTTCGCGATCATCCGTCAGATGTGCTGATT